GTGATACCAGGAGGGTGGAGGGAAGGGAGGGGAGGGGAGAGAGGTGGAACCGATTACAAGGATCTACATATAACCTCCTCCCTGGGGGATGAACAACAGAAAAGTGGGTGAAGGGAGACATCAGACAGTGTAAGATATGACAAAATAATAATAATTTATGAATTATCAAGGGTTCATGAGGGAGGGGGCAGTGGGGAGGGAGGGGGAAAAATGAGGGGCTGATACCAAGGGCTCAAGCAGAAAGCAACTGTTTTGAGAATGATGAGGGCAACAAATGTACAAATGTGCTTGACATACAATGGATGTATGTATGAATTGTGATAAGAGTTGTAAGAGCCCCCAATAAAATTATTTTTAAAAAATCCATTGTGGTTAGAATTGATTACATAATGGGGAGATAGAAGAGATGAAGTTGGAAAAGGAATGTGGGAAACAACTGGGAAGCCCTTCTGTCGCCATCAGGAGCCCTTGCAAGCCTGGTCTCTCTGGTCTCTTTAATTTACCCCTCAATCACAAAACCGCCCCCTTGGACCAATTCAGTTGTGGAGGCTGGTCCCCCACAGATGAGGCATTGGCTAGATCACATAGAACCTTGGGAGTTACTCTGGCCTCTCAGCTCCAATCTACTTTCCTCTGTGACGATGGGGCTGCAAGCCGAGCAGCACACGAGTCAGCCTGCTTTCTGTTGGGTTCTGCAAGTAGGAAGTGATCCAGGGAGGCTGAAGGACAGGAGGAGGGAGAACAGATTTGCTCACTTGTTGACATCCTATTGCTCTCATGGTCAGTCCATCACTAGCATTTTGCTTCTGGCAGCAGCGGCCTTTGCTTCGGTCTCCAGATTCATGACAAACACAATCTCTTCACTCTATATCATGATGTTTTTATTGGCGTTGTGAATGGTTTAATTCCTCTAGGAGCAATGCCTGTGGAAGCAGCAGGCAACAAATCAAATGATATAATACCTTGGGAAAGTCCCCTCAAAAAAACAACAAAAATACCAAAAACCTCTCTAAAGTGTTCAGAAGCAAAGATGTCATTTTGAGGATGAAGGTGGTCCTGATACAAGGTATGGTATTTTCAATGACTTCCTAAGCATGCAAAAGCTGGGAAATGAGTAAGCTTCCACAGAAGAAATGTGGTGCTAGCAAAGACTATTGAATACGTCATGGACTGCCAAAAGAATGAACAGTCTTGAAAGAAGTCATTCTCCTTAGACGTGAGGATGGTGAGTAAGCTTTTGTCACATGTAATTTGAAAATGCTATCAAGAAGGCCCAATTGTTGGAGAGCAACATTGTGCTGGCAGATGAGAAGGTTTAAAAGTTAACTCAGGGCAATAGTTTGATGGGTTCATACACCTCCCAGACTCCGGAAAATCTGGATTTCCGAATTTGAAATTCTGTTTTGTATTTCCTCACTACTGATCACAATTCTTCTACATTCCAGATTACTCTATTTGATTAAAATGCCCTGTAACTGTAGCCAGGCACCACCCATTCTAGATGCTCTTCCTATTCCTCATGCTCCATGTCCCCCTGTTGTTCCAGGTGAAGAGAGCCCAAGTGTTGAGCCCTGGATGGCTGCTTGCAAAGTGTAAAGACCCTGGGTTCGAAGCAAAGATTTAACAAGTGGAACAGAAACACCAAGCACATAGTTAGGCCAAGGAGCTGGGAGGTTTCAGGGACCCTAAACATGCAGACCAAGGAGTCCAATCCCATGAGGCATTTAGTTGGACATACATAGGCTCGGCACTTACTCTTTTTTTTATCTTCTTCTGTTCTTTTGTGATTGTTTTTGTCAACTCTATTACACAACTTTTGCTAATTCAACTTCCTACCGGCATACGACTTATTGACAGCAATTATAATAATCAGTTGTGTAACCTTACCCTTCATCAATGTGATGTTTCCAGCATTGATAACCCTCCTTTTCCTTCTCTCTCCTGCCATGGTAATCACGAATAAAATTCTGATCTCTATACATTTGCTTCTTCTTTTTTTTTTTTTTTTTAAGAAAAGTGAAGTTCATCTAGTATGAGTCCTTTTGGTATCGATTTATTTCACTCAGCATTATGTCTTTAATCTCCATCCATATCAGAACATGCGTCAACACCTCATCTCTCCTACTGATTGAATAGTATGCCGTTATAAGTATGTGTCCCATTTTGTTTACTCATTCATCTGTGGAAGGACATTGGTGACACAGTGGTTAAGTGCTTGGCTGATAACTGAAAGGTCAGCAGTTCTAACCCATCAGCTGCTCCACTGCAGAAAGATGAGGCAATTTACTTCTGTAAAGATTACAACCTACGAAACCATCTGCGATGGTTCTAGTCTGCCTTATAGGTTCCACATGGGTAGGAATTGACCGGAAGGCAACAGGCTTTGCTTTTGGTTTATTGAGACTCAGAGGAGGTCAGGGGTCAGAAATAGCTTCAGGCATGGTGGGATCCAGGAACACAAAGGAGGTTCTCAGGATTCAGTCTTTTTTCCTCTCTTTCTGTTCTCCTGTTTGTCTCACTTTCCTCTAGGTTGGCCTCACGCATGTTCCCCATGGTCTGTGTCCCCACTTCCCAACATGACCTTAGCATAAGGTGACCAGATTTTAACATTGGTAAGGCGGGACAAAAGCAGGACACCATTGATAAAACTCATATCCTGGTGAAATAG